TTCTTTATCCTTTGTAAAGTTTTTTTTTCTTTTGTCTCCTTTATCCTTTGTAAAGGCAGTGAATACTTTCCACTTAGTTTTAGATAATTGTCGACGTAGTATATGTTTTCTATTAGAGAGAGTAGTTTCACTAAAATTACACTATACGCAATGTCTCCCAGGTCATGTCAAGAACCTGTATCAGTGGTTTTGAATGATTCATCCTCTGGGGTATCAGATGATGTTGAAAGCAACGTTGGGTTATCTGCTGTGTCCACTGCGGGGAATCGAACCCCAGATTTTACCATTCTAAGTTCGTAAACTCACTGCTGCCCCCTTCGGAGGACTAGATGATGTGCTCTGTTGAATTGTTTGGTTTTATGTTGTTGTGTTTTTGCAAAACTTGGTTCTCCTTTATGAGACATTTGGAATATTATTGGATACATCAGCTTCTAATTTTCTTTGCACTTAGCTTCTCATTTTTGTGGATCAAATCAATGGGAATACACGACACAAAGTGATTTGGAGCTTAGTTTCCTTTGTCCATGTTTGTTACATGTGTCCACATTATATAGAAAGGAAAACCGGAGTCCATCTGATCCAATAATGAGACAATCACATGATTATGAACATGTTGATTTACAGCAACATTTGAGATGTTAGGGCAAACACTTTGTATCGGGTGTTTGAATGCATTTGCAATCCCAAACAAATAAAGAGAAGTACTCATAACTGTTCACCATTTTTCAATATCTCATTCTGAAAGGACTTTGTAATGTTTCCAGGAATATACAAAGAAACAGGATATATAATCAGAAACAGAAGACTGACAGGTACCTCAGTTATGGCGATGTGTGTTGTTTCTTTAACATACTTTTTCTCATTTGACTACAACCTCAAATGTTCAAACTCTGCATTCAATCTGCCTCTTTTAAAATCCAAATACCAGAAGCCGGGGGGAGGAGGGGGCAGTTCCATTCCCTTATATTGTAGCTGGTACATCGATTTTGAGACCTAGAATTTTGTATTTCGCAAACATGTTTTTCACAGTGTAAAAATACAGGGAGACTTTAGATTTTATTGCCTGTAACCTTTTTTGTTTGTTTCTTCTGACTCCATGTAATGTGAAAGGTTCGTTTTAAAGCAAGAACAAAGTCTAGGTTGTAAATTCACATGTAGATTACAAATACCGTTATAGAACTACGTCGTTGTTGTTTGTTATTAAGCACAAAGATACACAAAGGGCTGTCTGTGCTCTGCCCACCACGGGTATCGAAACGCGGTTTCTAGCGGTATAAATCCGCAGACATACCACTGTGCCACTGGGGGTCGTAAAAATAAATAATCTAGCAGTGAAAGACTAGAGGGAATGCAGCTAGTCATCAACACCCACCGCCAACTCTTGGGTTACTCTTTTACCAAAGAATGGTGGAATGGACCGTAACTATATAACGCCCCCACGGAGCACCATAACTGAATGACATCTGGCACACAAACTGTACCGGCGATTATAGACAACTTTTAGCGACATCTACTGATAACTGATGTAACGTTCTAAATATATTTATTTGTCTTAATTTTATTTTTTATCAATTGAATTAAAGAAATAACGAAAACGGGCACTTGTGGTAATTTATAATTGTGTCACTTTATTGCTTTATTTACAAAATCTAAAAAAAGAAATAAACTGGAGCAAATTCCACGAGGTCCGTACCCCGTGTCCCCACTCTAGATAAGCCTCGTGTGTTATAATTATCTATTGACTATTAACATGGATTTACTGAAGTAATCGTTTTTCCTTTAGTTATAGATTGAATTCTCGAACGTTTCTAGTTTACATTTTCATTTTGTATGTAGACATACATGAGACACGAATGATTATATGACTACTTATCATTAGTGAAGTAAATATAAACAAAGATTTTAATTCTACAAACACAAAACAACTTTTAAAGAGAGATAAATTAAAATTATAAAAAGGCAAAACTATGCTTGACAGTCTTCAAGTAAAAAAAAAAAGTAACATTTTATTCACCCAATAGCACCGTACCCTCGGAGCGGCGTGGAGTATCTGTATAAAGGTCCTTTTCTTTCAGTGTCTGGCTGACTAAAACCCGGATCTTCTTTTTTGTAACTATAGTGATAAAATAATAAAAAATTTTTACACTGTTTTAAAGAGGAGAACAGTTTTCAGGCTTGAAAAAAAAAATCACTCTTTTTAAATCGAAATACCATGAAATTATAAACCAGCTGTGACCTGTATTAATCCACAACTGTTTGGGTTCGTTCCCTGCCATAAACACAGCGCAGATAACCCATTGTATAGCTTATCAACTCACAGTTTAAGAACACCCCTGCACTTACACCTCAGTAGCTCAGCGTTAATCGTGAGGGCTTATAACGCTAAATGTTTGGGTTCGATCCCTGCCACGGACACAGCGCAGATAACCCATTGTATAGCTTATCAACTCACAGTTTAAAAACACCTCCTGCACTTACGCCTCAGTAGCACAGCGTTAAGCTTGAGGGCTTATAAAATAAAAGTTTGGGTTCGATCCCTACCATGGGCGCAAACCAGATAACTCATCGTACAGCCTTGCGCTTAACAACAAACAAATCTCCTATATTGAAGTTATTTTCCACTAATACTTTTGTATTGTGACGTTAAAAACCGAAAAATATGGTGGTGGAAATCTTGTAACATTTTGAATTTATATAATAAATGTAGGTTGATAGGTAAATATATATATGTTAAATAGGAAGAAATTAATTGTTTTCATATTTCTTGCACAAATAACTTTACTAAATCATTTTCATAACAAAAACTGGTAAAAGACAGACAATTAAACAACTTGATTTGCACAAATAAACTTTACTAAATCATTTTCATAACAAAACTGGTAAAAGACAGACAATTAAACGACTTGATTTGCACAAATAAACTTTACTAAATCATTTTCATAACAAAATTGGTAAAAGACAGACAATTAAACAATTTAATTTGCACAAATAAACTTTACTAAATCGTTTTCATAACAAAAACTGGTAAAAGACAGACAATTAAACAATTTAATTTGCACAAATAAACTACTAAATCGTTTTCATAACAAAAACTGGTTAAAGACAGACAATTAAACAATTTAATTTGCACAAATAAACTTTACTAAACCGTTTTCATAATTTCAGATTATGATTTTCTAAGGTCATAAGGAAGGCTGTAGTTTCAGATTATGATTTTCTAAGGTCATAAGGATGGATGTAGTTTCAGATTATGATTTTCTATGGTCATAAGGATGGATGTAGTTTCAGATTATGATTTTCTATGGTCATAAGGATGGATGTAGTTTCAGATTATGATT